ACAGACTTGGGACCACAGCAGAATGCGGGAATCACAGCAAGGCATTCATTCCATTGGCAAATCCCAGAAATCAGCAGTGTTCTCAGTCTGTGTTTGGGCGGGTCATTACATCGAGGGTGTTTCACCTTTTTGTGTTTTTCATTTTCACTTTTGATGGTATTCAACGCTCCTGTCCCGTCCAGATATAAGTAAAAAAAAAGTCCTAGTGTGAGTATGCCAGAGTCTAGCTTGTCATTGCCGTACAAATCTGTGTTTGACCTGAGGTTGGAAAATCAGTCTGAGCCCCGATCGGCATAACCACTCCAGGATGTTTTTTTGCACTGAATCGGGAAGTCTTGGGTGACCAGACACATCCAATAAAATGCGAGTGAGCATGTTCTGAACCAGTCGCAGGTCTTAACCTGGGACACCCCAAACGAACCCCATCCGGTGAGGCAAAGAACTTTGCCTTGCCTGTAACTGTTATTAGTTATGCGCCCCCACCTCCCCCCTCAAGTTGCCTCAACCCATTTTTTTTTTTATTTTTTTTTTGGCAGCTTTCACTGCTGTGTGCTACGTAAAAAAGAAAACGAAGTTCTGAAATTGTGTTTAGATTCTTTAGACTTAGAACTTCAGAAAAGCACAGAAACGTTTTTTTTTTTTTTTTGGGGGGGGGGGGGGGGGGGGGGCAGGGGGGAAAACCAATTAAGGGAACCTATCTGGCGATCCTTTTCCAGAATCTATTGACAACTCTTTTTTTTTTTTTTTTTTTTTTTAAATCCTATTGACAACTTAGGAAAGGAGAAAAACAGGAAAATCCAAAATAGCAAACAGATGCTTCAGTGTATAGATGATGATGAGCTGGCCCTGCCAAAAAAAAAAGTCCAGGGTCCGATGAATATGATTCTGATATTTATTTAATTTTATAATGATTTTTATTATAATTTTTTATTTTTTTGTAGCAAACGGAGAGAGGCAGAAAAAGAGACGGAAACCGGGTCCAGAGTCGCTTTACAACTCCTGGGCCCAAGTCCCACTAGGAGCGTTGAGCTACCTCAACGCCTGAATGTGGACGCTTTTGCGGAGATGTGCAGAAATGGTGTCGAGTTTCCTGAACTGCACGTCTTCACAAACACGTCCAGATTCAGGCGTTGAGGAAATGCAGTGCTGCTAGTGGGACTTGGCCCCTGGGGTGCGTTCCCACTATGGGTAGCAGCTGGATAGGATAAAAGAAATGGGTTGTGTGTCACTGTGTGGCAATAGAACAACAGACATCTGCCGTGGGATGCAGCGAGATCCAACGCGCAGGTCTTTTTAGGAGAGGCGGTTAACGGACGCCTCAATTTTCAGACAATTCAAAATTTTCACTGTTTTGAAGTGTTTTCAGTTTTCAGGATTTTCAGGATTTTTCAGGAGGGCTAGCCAAACAGTCAACTCCAAGACCCCAACAAACACCAAACTTGGCACACACAGACCTTGACCAAAAA